CAGATCTTAACAGAGATGAATGGGTAGCAGCATTGCCAAGGGCTTTTGTAGCAGGATTTGTCAAGACAGACAAAGAGTTTCAAGAGAGGGGTATGGTTAATTTCAATCTGCTTTTACTTTGACCCTATGATATTGAATTGATAGCCCTTGTTCTACCTTAAGATTCATTAAGTCTTAATGTTTTTCTTCTGATATTGCATTGTTATTCTCATCTTGCAGCTCAAACTTCAGGAACAACTGTCACCTTTGTGATTATAGAAGGATGGGTAATATCTGTTGCATCTGTTGGCGATTCTCGTTGCATACTTGAACCTGCTGAAGGTGGAGTTTATTATTTATCAGCAGACCATAGGCTTGAAATCAATGAAGAGGAGTAAGTTATTTGTATAATGTGTTTTTAACTTACTTAATAATCGGTATCCTTTAATAACCCTCCACCCCAACGATATGTGAATAGGCGGTTGCGTATCACTGCAAGTGGGGGTGAGGTTGGTCGGCTTAACACTGGTGGTGGGGCAGAGGTAACTTTTCTTCATGCCTTACTTATGCCTTTTGTTTTTAAGTTGTTGAGTATTTTCCAGGAAGTAAATTTTTACAAGCACAAATTTAAATGTTAAGATAGGGATATCAAATCCTGGTGGATGATGTGGACAAGTGTGCTTAAAGATAGGTTGAATCTATTGTTGGACCCCGATGTTAATAAGATTATGAACTTGAAGAAATTGTGCTCTAAATATTGCTCTTGAGATGAAATTTTTTAAGTGTTGATACCAGTCTGCCATCTGTTATAATTTATTGGTTTTCCATGTGTTGAATTCTGGGTATTTTCTAATGGCCTGACTAATTTACGAAATGATTTGTTTATTTCTTTTTTTGTAGATCGGTCCTTTGAGGTGTTGGCCTGGGGGCTTGTGTCTGTCACGATCTATTGGTGATATGGATGTTGGGGAGTTCATTGTCCCCGTTCCATACGTAAAGCAAATGAAGGTATGTTTCTACTGTTGTCACATTTTACAACATTCAGCGTACATGTTTTAATCTCCATATGCTTGATTCCCCCTTAGATGTTAGTGCCAAAACATTCAGCAGACATTTGTAAAAGCAACCCCTATACTATTATGAAAATTTTAATTTATTACCTATTGCTTTTCATTGTTAGAACAATAATTTTCTATAATGTCTTCACTTTGAAATCATTATTTTAAAGAATTTTTTTCATTGTTTTTCCTACAGTTGTCTTCAGCAGGTGGTAGACTTATCATTTCGAGTGATGGAGTCTGGGATGCCTTGTCTGCAGAAACAGCTCTTGATTGTTGTCGTGGGATGGCACCAGATGCTGCAGCTGCGCAGATTGTTAAGGTATAATAGCAGTTATAAGTTTCAGTTTCCTTTAAGTTATGTTATATGTGTAATATATAGTTTATAGCTTTTGCACCTTGACCAATGCATTAGATGCTTTGCCAGAACTATTGTGCTGGGAGGGCTCTTTCTTGTTTACTTCAATACTATGTCTGACTTTTTGTTCTATTTCCAGGATGCTGTAGGGCACAAGGGACTTCGGGATGATACAACCTGCATTGTGATTGATATTTTACCACATGAGAAGCTACCCGTCCCGTTACCGCAACAAAAGAAGCAAGGAAAAGGAGTGTTGTTTAAATCCATGTTTCGGAAAAAGCCCTGTGACTCATCTTCTAATGTTGAAAAAGAGTATATTGAGCCAGACATGGTGGAGGAATTATTTGAGGAAGGTTCTGCTTCACTTTCCGAGAGGTTTGTGCTTAACAAATCATATTCATGGCCTAAACTTGATTTTTGATCTCTGGGTCGGGCAGAAGTGTTTGTTGCTTGCTTAGTATTTTATTTTATTTTATTTTATTTTCCTTTTTTGTTCCCTTTTCTAAAACTGAATTTTTCTTTTGGGAACATTCTTTCGTTATTAGTTGAACTTGGTATGATGGGGTTGTTTCATTATTGGTGGAGCTTTGTATGGAGGGGGTTTGTGTAGGTTTACTGGTTTTTGACAGTATCTTCGTGTGGAATGCAGGTTAGATTCAAAATACCCGCTCTGCAACATGTTCAAGTTGTTTATGTGCGCAGTTTGTCAAGTAGAAATTAAACCGGGAGAGGGTATTTCGATACACAGTGGATCATCTAACCCAGGAAAATTGCGACCTTGGGATGGCCCATTCCTTTGCTTGAGTTGCCAAGAGAAGAGAGATGCTATGGAGGGAAAAAGACCTTCAGGAAGTATGACAACCTTCCCCACTCCCAAATTGTTATTATTTTTTCAAATTTCTGCCACACCCTTTAATTTATTCTTGGCTTGTTTATTTCAGGAAGATGTGATAGCGATAGTGATTAGCCGACCCTCATTTGAACTTGAGAGCACTATCAATTACTTTGAAGTTGTTCATGAAGTGGGAAGGTGGTGCTTCTCTTGATATTAGTTCCCTTCAATTTCTCAATGGGGATTTACGATCCGTTTTGGCACTCAACTCAGAAGGAACCAACCTATCTGGATCTCTCTTTCTCTCTCATGTTTTCATGTTTCAAATCAGAAGATCCCAGATAGAGCCGCATGCTTTCTTTTTAAGTTCTGTTTTCTGACTTCAGAGTGACGTAAAAAACAGTGCCTGCCTCCCTTGAAAAGGGTTGTGGAAGGGCTGGATGAACTTACTTGTGCTTAACTATGCATTGGAGGTAATTTTCTCTCTGGATCCATGCCCTTCTATTTTACAGAGCTAACATTGAAACAAACCACTCTTCAATGTAATATTATTATATAGGTGAAATTGATGAAACCTCAGGCAGATTCATTACACATTAGGAGATTGAAAAAAACCTGTCTTCTCTGTTTTTCTGTATTTGTTCAAAGTAGCTATCCTTCCATATAACTAGGAAGGTAACTATTAAATAGAAAGATTGACAATTATTTTTTGTTCTTTTTTGAAGAAATTTATCTTTTCATTCTTTTCTAATGATGTTTCCTTTCCCCTGTTTGTAATAATTTAGTATCTCAGTTAAATTACTGGATAGCTGCCCATTTTATCTCTGTACAATTCCATGGTCTCGTGCCTTTGCTCTTCAAATGGTTAAAAGGGTTGCTATAATTGTAATTTATAAATGGAAAAAGACGCATCATTTGACAGTAATTTTTGACTTGGCAGCCATACATTATCTATATTTCTAATGTATAATTTAATTAATCATTTTGTTATCAAAGTGACAAGGTTGCTTGTTTAGAGTTGGCATTGTCAATTGGTAGTGTAGTTTCCTTGAGCACGGCTGTGCTCGTCAACAAGTAGGGACCATTTTGCTGTTGGTTTGAAGGAGCCTAGTTACACTTACATGTGAGCTTCGCTAGTTTCCTGTTTCAAGGAGCCAAGAAGGGACCAATTTTACATATAAATAATAAATAAAACTTATGCTGAGAGAACTATAGTCTCATACAAGACATTCTATGGTCGATAATTTGCCGTTGATAGGTGTAATTAGTTATATACAATCGGTCATAGGCCAGTTTTTCTCTCGGTGTAGGGATGAACACCGAAACATGAAGTTGTATATAGTGATGGACTCTTTTGATCTTAATTGTTGTAACCAAAAGAAAGATCGTCTTCGTTGTTTATGTGAATTACGATCAAAACAAAATAAATAAATTTTTTAAAAAGGGGATGCAAAAGCGAAAATCTTACACGCTGGCTTCTGTTTGTTAGTTGTTGCCCTTTTGGTGCTTCTTCTTGATGGCTTGGGTTCCTTCCTATGACCCCCGTGCGTAGTCTCTGAAAGAAAGAAAGAGAGAGAAAGAAAGAGTGGCTGCTGGCAAAAGCATAAAGGGGAAGGGAAACTTTTTCAAGCCTAATAAGATCGATCTCTTTCTCTCTCTCCCATATGGACTGAGTGCGAAATCTTTGTTTCATGCCATGTTTGCTTCTTAAGTCTTATCCTTTAGAAAAAAAATTACAATATGATTTTTGAATGGTTAAGTGGTGAGGATGAGTTAGTCCACCACAATAATGCTTGCATGATTGAGATGTTGACCTGAACTATAAGAACAAAATTCCCCTACTATGGATGTATCATCTGGACCACTATGTGCACGTGTGTTTGGGTCTACCATCACCACCTAACTTTTAAAATTTTGTTTATCACTTATGCCACCCGTTATCTAGTTGTGTGTGTTCATCATCGTCCGATATATCCGTCTAAAGGGTTTGATCACATGATCATATGGAAAGTCAGTCTTCCGAAGGAGAAAAACTTACCTATTCCGGTTTCACACACTTCATTTCTCTATTATTTTTCATCACGTGTTATTCATCATTAGGACCGTTCTAATTGGTTACTTACATGATCATATGGGAAAAACTTACATCTTCCGGTTTTATATATCCTTATTCTATCTCTTTTATTATGTGGCAAGTCTAATTTGATTGTGTACAATAATTCTTCTCAACTAGGGCTTCTACTCTTTTCGAATTGATTGGTGGGGTGAACCATGTGAATCCGATATTGGACTTGTTTTATGTCATGGATTCATGGTTAATGTTACTCCTCAACATAGTTTTAAATAATTACGACAAAATATCCATGATGGGTCCCTTTTTTCTCCGACATTGAATAATCAATCATTTGCATTAAATTATTTAGACATTTTACACAAGTGTACATATATATCTTAATCCTATATGTATGGTATCCGTGTATACAAAGACCACTCTTCTGTCTCTCCACGCAACTTGGTTTTAGACAATTAGGGTGTTCTACAAAAACCTCGAATAAAAAGATCACAGTATCACTTGGAAGTAGACAACTTGGGGGATCACACAACTTAGATGTTGAAGATGATATTAGCCCGTGAGGTTTAGATTTAAGAATCAGAAAATGGTCAAGAAGATTGTTTGAAATTGGAATTTTTTTTTATCAATTCAAGGCAACGACCCCGATGTTAATAAGATTATGAACTTGAAGAAATTGTGCTCTAAATATTGCTCTTGAGATGAAATTTTTTAAGTGTTGATACCAGTCTGCCATCTGTTATAATTTATTGGTTTTCCATGTGTTGAATTCTGGGTATTTTCTAATGGCCTGACTAATTTACGAAATGATTTGTTTATTTCTTTTTTTGTAGATCGGTCCTTTGAGGTGTTGGCCTGGGGGCTTGTGTCTGTCACGATCTATTGGTGATATGGATGTTGGGGAGTTCATTGTCCCCGTTCCGTACGTAAAGCAAATGAAGGTATGTTTCTACTGTTGTCACATTTTACAACATTCAGCGTACATGTTTTAATCTCCATATGCTTGATTCCCCCTTAGATGTTAGTGCCAAAACATTCAGCAGACATTTGTAAAAGCAACCCCTATACTATTATGAAAATTTTAATTTATTACCTATTGCTTTTCATTGTTAGAACAATAATTTTCTATAATGTCTTCACTTTGAAATCATTATTTTAAAGAATTTTTTTCATTGTTTTTCCTACAGTTGTCTTCAGCAGGTGGTAGACTTATCATTTCGAGTGATGGAGTCTGGGATGCCTTGTCTGCAGAAACAGCTCTTGATTGTTGTCGTGGGATGGCACCAGATGCTGCAGCTGCGCAGATTGTTAAGGTATAATAGCAGTTATAAGTTTCAGTTTCCTTTAAGTTATGTTATATGTGTAATATATAGTTTATAGCTTTTGCACCTTGACCAATGCATTAGATGCTTTGCCAGAACTATTGTGCTGGGAGGGCTCTTTCTTGTTTACTTCAATACTATGTCTGACTTTTTGTTCTATTTCCAGGATGCTGTAGGGCACAAGGGACTTCGGGATGATACAACCTGCATTGTGATTGATATTTTACCACATGAGAAGCTACCCGTCCCGTTACCGCAACAAAAGAAGCAAGGAAAAGGAGTGTTGTTTAAATCCATGTTTCGGAAAAAGCCCTGTGACTCATCTTCTAATGTTGAAAAAGAGTATATTGAGCCAGACATGGTGGAGGAATTATTTGAGGAAGGTTCTGCTTCACTTTCCGAGAGGTTTGTGCTTAACAAATCATATTCATGGCCTAAACTTGATTTTTGATCTCTGGGTCGGGCAGAAGTGTTTGTTGCTTGCTTAGTATTTTATTTTATTTTATTTTATTTTCCTTTTTTGTTCCCTTTTCTAAAACTGAAATTTTCTTTTGGGAACATTCTTTCGTTATTAGTTGAACTTGGTATGATGGGGTTGTTTCATTATTGGTGGAGCTTTGTATGGAGGGGGTTTGTGTAGGTTTACTGGTTTTTGACAGTATCTTCGTGTGGAATGCAGGTTAGATTCAAAATACCCGCTCTGCAACATGTTCAAGTTGTTTATGTGCGCAGTTTGTCAAGTAGAAATTAAACCGGGAGAGGGTATTTCGATACACAGTGGATCATCTAACCCAGGAAAATTGCGACCTTGGGATGGCCCATTCCTTTGCTCGAGTTGCCAAGAGAAGAGAGATGCTATGGAGGGAAAAAGACCTTCAGGAAGTATGACAACCTTCCCCACTCCCAAATTGTTATTATTTTTTCAAATTTCTGCCACACCCTTTAATTTATTCTTGGCTTGTTTATTTCAGGAAGATGTGATAGCGATAGTGATTAGCCGACCCTCATTTGAACTTGAGAGCACTATCAATTACTTTGAAGTTGTTCATGAAGTGGGAAGGTGGTGCTTCTCTTGATATTAGTTCCCTTCAATTTCTCAATGGGGATTTACGATCCGTTTTGGCACTCAACTCAGAAGGAACCAACCTATCTGGATCTCTCTTTCTCTCTCATGTTTTCATGTTTCAAATCAGAAGATCCCAGATAGAGCCGCATGCTTTCTTTTAAGTTCTGTTTTCTGACTTCAGAGTGACGTAAAAAACAGTGCCTGCCTCCCTTGAAAAGGGTTGTGGAAGGGCTGGATGAACTTACTTGTGCTTAACTATGCATTGGAGGTAATTTTCTCTCTGGATCCATGCCCTTCTATTTTACAGAGCTAACATTGAAACAAACCACTCTTCAATGTAATATTATTATATAGGTGAAATTGATGAAACCTCAGGCAGATTCATTACACATTAGGAGATTGAAAAAAACCTGTCTTCTCTGTTTTTCTGTATTTGTTCAAAGTAGCTATCCTTCCATATAACTAGGAAGGTAACTATTAAATAGAAAGATTGACAATTATTTTTTGTTCTTTTTTGAAGAAATTTATCTTTTCATTCTTTTCTAATGATGTTTCCTTTCCCCTGTTTGTAATAATTTAGTATCTCAGTTAAATTACTGGATAGCTGCCCATTTTATCTCTGTACAATTCCATGGTCTCGTGCCTTTGCTCTTCAAATGGTTAAAAGGGTTGCTATAATTGTAATTTATAAATGGAAAAAGACGCATCATTTGACAGTAATTTTTGACTTGGCAGCCATACATTATCTATATTTCTAATGTATAATTTAATTAATCATTTTGTTATCAAAGTGACAAGGTTGCTTGTTTAGAGTTGGCATTGTCAATTGGTAGTGTAGTTTCCTTGAGCACGGCTGTGCTCGTCAACAAGTAGGGACCATTTTGCTGTTGGTTTGAAGGAGCCTAGTTACACTTACATGTGAGCTTCGCTAGTTTCCTGTTTCAAGGAGCCAAGAAGGGACCAATTTTACATATAAATAATAAATAAAACTTATGCTGAGAGAACTATAGTCTCATACAAGACATTCTATGGTCGATAATTTGCCGTTGATAGGTGTAATTAGTTATATACAATCGGTCATAGGCCAGTTTTTCTCTCGGTGTAGGGATGAACACCGAAACATGAAGTTGTATATAGTGATGGACTCTTTTGATCTTAATTGTTGTAACCAAAAGAAAGATCGTCTTCGTTGTTTATGTGAATTACGATCAAAACAAAATAAATAAATTTTTTAAAAAGGGGATGCAAAAGCGAAAATCTTACACGCTGGCTTCTGTTTGTTAGTTGTTGCCCTTTTGGTGCTTCTTCTTGATGGCTTGGGTTCCTTCCTATGACCCCCGTGCGTAGTCTCTGAAAGAAAGAAAGAGAGAGAAAGAAAGAGTGGCTGCTGGCAAAAGCATAAAGGGGAAGGGAAACTTTTTCAAGCCTAATAAGATCGATCTCTTTCTCTCTCTCCCATATGGACTGAGTGCGAAATCTTTGTTTCATGCCATGTTTGCTTCTTAAGTCTTATCCTTTAGAAAAAAAATTACAATATGATTTTTGAATGGTTAAGTGGTGAGGATGAGTTAGTCCACCACAATAATGCTTGCATGATTGAGATGTTGACCTGAACTATAAGAACAAAATTCCCCTACTATGGATGTATCATCTGGACCACTATGTGCACGTGTGTTTGGGTCTACCATCACCACCTAACTTTTAAAATTTTGTTTATCACTTATGCCACCCGTTATCTAGTTGTGTGTGTTCATCATCGTCCGATATATCCGTCTAAAGGGTTTGATCACATGATCATATGGAAAGTCAGTCTTCCGAAGGAGAAAAACTTACCTATTCCGGCTTCACACACTTCATTTCTCTATTATTTTTCATCACGTGTTATTCATCATTAGGACCGTTCTAATTGGTTACTTACATGATCATATGGGAAAAACTTACATCTTCCGGTTTTATATATCCTTATTCTATCTCTTTTATTATGTGGCAAGTCTAATTTGATTGTGTACAATAATTCTTCTCAACTAGGGCTTCTACTCTTTTCGAATTGATTGGTGGGGTGAACCATGTGAATCCGATATTGGACTTGTTTTATGTCATGGATTCATGGTTAATGTTACTCCTCAACATAGTTTTAAATAATTACGACAAAATATCCATGATGGGTCCCTTTTTTCTCCGACATTGAATAATCAATCATTTGCATTAAATTATTTAGACATTTTACACAAGTGTACATATATATCTTAATCCTATATGTATGGCATCCGTGTATACAAAGACCACTCTTCTGTCTCTCCACGCAACTTGGTTTTAGACAATTAGGTTGTTCTACAAAAACCTCGAATAAAAAGATCACAGTATCACTTGGAAGTAGACAACTTGGGGGATCACACAACTTAGATGATGAAGATGATATTAGCCCGTGAGGTTTAGATTTAAGAATCAGAAAATGGTCAAGAAGATTGTTTGAAATTGGATTTTTTTTTTTATCAATTCAAGGCAACAATCTAAACTATAAGGAAATGAGGTTTTCTCACACACATTACCAATTTGTTATGGGAGTTCAAACTTGAAACTACTGATTTGTAAATTAAAGCTGATTTCCATTAGGTTAGGAGAATCGAATTTACGTGTGAAAGGATGAACTCATTACCCTAATTGACTCTTTTCATAATTAAAGCTAAAATTATTTTAAAAGGAGCTGTAAATTTGTTTTTTCCTAGTTGGAAATGCAAAGAAATAATGTGAGGTCCATCTCGGGCAAAGTGCATCCAATCCACCGTTGGCTGTCATTTTATTAAAGAAAAACACACACTGAAGCGCTGCGTTTCATGAAGAAAATACAATACAAGGGTAATGTCACGCCATAAAACATAGGGGGCCCTAAAACATAACGAAGGGCGGTACATGTCTGCCACGTGTCGCGAAACCCTGTCTGAGAATTTTCCTAACGACCTAATGATTATTTTGCATATGTTTTTTGTTGTTGTAAAAATATTTTTATTTTAGTTTTTGCTTCGAAAATTAGAGAAAAAGCAATGTTAAAGAAGCTGAACAGTCACTGAAGGGAAGAAACATGAGCCCTTGGATGGCTAGATTGGGCCCTACATTTACCTTGCTCTCAGACTCAGACCTCACTCATAAAAAACTACATAGAGGAGAACGCACCCCCCATTTACAGCACAACATTAAACCAGCCTTCCTTTCTTGAGCTTTTGTTTCTCTTTAGACTCTCTCTCTCTCTCTCTCTCTCTCCACTGCTTCCTTATCTCTCTTTTCCCAAAGGTTTGGTACAATCCAAAGAACCAAAATTTAGAAAAGTGAGAGAAAAACCAGACACTGGTTCTGATCCGTTTATCAAGGTTGAACAAAAAAATCATTGGAGTTATGGGCACCCATCAGCAGGAAAAGACCAGAGAAAAAGCTGTAGGAACCAGGCATGAAGAAGAGAGGCTAAAAGTGGGAGGAATTGGAAAAGAATTAAGGCAAGCAGCAGCAAAGCAAGTGCAGCAACCAAGTACAGCTCCTGCCTCACCACCTTCAGCTTCCGCCTCTCCCTCTCATGAATTCTCCTTCACAATCTCTCAACAGTCTTCTTCCACATCAATCCCTGATCATCATAACAAGGCCAAATCCACCCCATCTTCTTTTGCTATTGATTTGTCCCCTGCAGATGACATTTTCTTCCATGGCCACTTGCTTCCTCTCCAATTGCTCTCTCACCTTCCTGTCTCTCCTCGCTCATCAACCAACTCCCTGGACAGCTTCACTCTTTCCATCAAAGACTTATCAGATGATTATCAGAGACCAACCAAAGAAAGCAGCAACAATGCTAACAACTGCAGCACCAGCATTGGCAGCAACAAGAATATCATCAACAACAAGAACAACAGCTGCAGCAGCATAAACCAGAGAAGCCCACATCACAGCAACAAAAGTGAGGCAAGGGGAAGAACAAAGTCCAAGTCTTTCTCATTATTCGGGTTACCGAAATGGCGAAAAGATTGTGAAGACAGAGAAAAAGAAGACAAGGAGATGAAGCACAAGAGGAAGATGAGGTTTGATGTGAGCCATATACTAAAGAGGTATGTGAGAATGGTCAGGCCACTATTGTTATTCAGAGGAAGAAAAGAGAAGGGCCAATTCCGGAGGCAACCTTATTCATTTTCGGGCAATCTAAGTTTGAGAAATAAGCATGAGCTGAGAGGAAGGAGAGGAGAGCTTTCAGCCCCAGCATCAATGAGAACATCTCCAACAAATAGTGGCCTTCTTGTTGCAACATCAGCAACTAATCTTCCTTCTTCCACCATTGACAGCACCATGGAAGAGTTGCAGGCAGCAATTCAAGCTGCAATTGCTCATTGCAAGAATTCCATTGCCAGTGCCACAGAAGAGAAGATCAAATGCTAGGATTAGATAGGAGGGGGAAACGGGGGAAATTGTTATGTTTTACATATTATTTGCATAGAAGGTGGATTTCATATATATATGAAGAAGATGTATTTAATGAGTTGAAAGAATGGTTCAATATATTACTGCATCTGGAAGTTCAATGTTGAATTATTTGATTTAATTCATTGTCCTTTGTGTAGGTTATAATTAATTTGTCCTGTTACTATTAAGCAATATATAATCCTTTCTGTCATTCTTTCTACATGATGTTGTATATTATTAGCTTCTTCTTTTGAGAGGAGATACATTTTTAGCATTTGACCACAAAATGACATTTTAGCTCTAGAAACACCAGCTGTCTGTCTGTCTCTGTGTGTGTGTGTGTCTCTCTCTCTCTCTCTCTCTCTCCCCTGTGACATTCTAGACATTGCCAGTTCATTGAAAGTAGGCTCATTATCAATTTCCATCTTCCGAAGTTTTGGAAAAAATTCACAAATACAATTATTAAGTCTGCAATATACATGATGACTATAAAATCATCACACGAGGGGAAGACTGACATGAATAGAAACAAGTGAGCTTTAATCAGTTCCTCGTCCCCACAAAAAAAGAGGCAATGAGAAACAACTGAAACTCTTTTTTCCTAAGAAAAGTGTACCGAAACATAATTGTAGGGGTCTAGAGATGAAAAAGAGAAGGGGCTCAATGTGGAGAGAGACACGGGGTATAACACTTTTTGCTATGATATGTGAGATAACTTTTCCATATGTCATTGCATTATTGACCGAAGATGATAGCCGTTACAAGAAAGTTTTTCTCCTCAAAGTGGTTGTTTGTGGGTCTAAATTCTAAGGAGTTGATGGCCGCAAAACTTTTACAACAAAAAAAAAAGAAAAAAGAAAAGAAAAAGTAACAAACAAGTACAATGATGACACTAAGATAACAATAATGCAGAAGGGACTTGATGATAATATCTGGTTTGACACATCAAAAAACATGAGTGAATCAGGTGAGTTTATGGTTGTAATTAAAACCATGATACTTTGAGTTTAAACATGCGGTGCAGAAAGTGACTGAAAGACTAATTATCGTTTTGAGGTTCAATTCAATCTGTTATGACTGTTATATTCGCAATCACAAACCCACCAAACTGTTTGAAAGTTGAAAGTGCATGCGTTTTTAATCATTTTAAGCCTAAAAAAAGAGAAAGAGGGGGCACAACAACAAAACCCCTTTTTTTTTCTAACTGGAAGTTACACACATATATGCACTCTACATATATGCACTGTGAGAGTGCAATGTGTGTAGGTGCACACTATGGTTGAGAGAGAGTCTTGGTCTCAGCTGCAGATGTTTGGCTGATATGAGTTTTGAAAGCATATCAGATTTGACCACTTCTTGTTTTTTTTTTTTTCAATTTTTTTTCCAACCACCAAGGAAGACAGCATGAAAGTTTTTGTTGCTGGGCTCAAGGGAGAGCTCACTCTCATGATTAAACCTCCATAAATTGACGTTAAAAGCATACAAGGTGGTTTTTTTTTTTTTTCTTTCGTGTGTGTGCACGCCTTTTGTAGGAGAGAAACTCTCATGTAATGGGGATAACACTTTTTACTATCCCAGGTCAATAGTGTAAAGACACTTAGGATAATTTTTTCACGTGTCATTGCGTTATTGGTCGATGATAGCAAAACAATGCTATCCTTGTTACGTGTAAGTTATTTCGCCTTTGTAGAGAACCCCTTTCAGCCGATCAGAGCTGGCTTCCTCTTGTTTTTCTTTTATATTTATTTATTTTTTCTTTCTCTGATTTACTACACAGCTCAAAGCCTAAGAAGTTGGCCTGAGAACATCATAGGCCCAAATGTTGTAGAATATGGATCCTAAATATATCGACAATTTCAATGATTGGATTTGGAACTAAAGCATTGGGCATGTGGTTAGTGTGGTGGTGGTGCCTTCCCTCGGCCAAACTACATGCCGTTCAAAATGCAGTGATAGCAAAACGACATGGTTTTGATTGGAAAATGGAGGAGGCCTGCTTGTGCAAGAGTGAGTCAGGCCCATCTTGTACAATCAAGGAGGAACATTTGGTCTTAGCTGGGACTCAGCCCAATTCTATTATTGCCTTTGACGGTTTGATTAACCTACCAGCATGAGCCCTAGGGATGGCAAAAATCCCCGCCCGTCGGGTCCCCAACCCTAACGGGGGGAGATTTCGGGGCCAAACGGGTATTGGGTAGGATGGCAAAAACCCCCGTAAGGGTGGGTCCCCGACCCTAACGGGAGGAGATTTCGGGGCCAAACGGGTATCGGGTACGGGGATCCCCGAACTTGAAAAATCCCCGATGGGTATGGGGAGGGGATGGTATTGGCGTCCCCATCCCTGAACCCGACCCGAAAATATATATGTTTGTATTTAAATAAATAAATATATATATATATAAATAATTATAATATTTATGTTTAACCCTAAGTTAACCTTCCTCTCCTAATTCTTCCTAATCTTCTCTAAATTTTCATATTGATGTGATTTAAAATAGTTGAGTTGAACTTTATAGTTAATTTGAATTTGTTGAATGATAATTTAATATGAAACTTGATGTTAAAATGTATGACAAATATTTTTTATGCAAAAAAAAACGGGGATTTGGGGCGGGTATCGGGGATAGTCCCCCGACGGGGATGGGGATGAGAATTCCCCGAAACCTATTAAACGGGGATTGGTTCGGGGATGGAGAGCGGGGACGGGAATGGTATTGTCATACCCGGCCCCTACCCGGCCCGTTACCATCCCTAATGAGCCCTAGTCTCTATGTGTCTCTCTCTCTCTCTGGTTGAAACTTGAAACTTGAAACTTGAATGTTGCTTGCTGTAGCAAAATCAGAATTTGGAAAGAAATATCTTAGAAAGATAAACCCACTTGCATGTTGTGGTCAACACCTAACAGCCAGCCGATGATTTCCATCTTATAATTAATAAACTGGGACATCCTCTTATATGCAACACAACAGTTATGTTGTGGTGTGTGTTGCCGGTGAGGTCGAATGTGCTGTCTTCAAAATTCTGTGCGTTCATTAGGGTAATTCAAACGCTGTTAACTGCTATCACTAAAATCATTGTATTCACATGAAACGCTTAGAGTTTTTTTTCTTCAACTATTACGAGAATAACAGTATTAAGATAAAACAATCGCTCACGCACGCGTAAGTAAATTTTGACCATTATAACACATATAAGATCCAAAATACAATAACAATCATAAAGTAGGATGTGGTACTAATTGAAGCGCTTTGAAGATTTTGAGGTAAATAGGTAAGTAACTGGGCATTCATATTTTCTGTTGTAAAAGACAAAGCCCACATGGCGGCAAAAGTGACGTGATAAAGAAAAGGAGGGGAGGCTTTCATGGGCCTACATAATTCAAATATTCACCTAACTCAATTGGTAACTCAAACCCAGAAAAGAAAACTAAAAAAAACATAAATTTGACACTTAAATCATATCTCCAAGTGCAACAACTGAGATTGCCAAGAAAACAAGAATCTCTCAATATCTCTCTTTCTCTCTCTTGCTCCCTCTCCCCGCTGAGATAGAGCGAGACTGTAGGCCCCTGGCCATTTCTTTCTCTCTCCAACCTGACCTTCTTCTTTCAGGTCAGTTCCATTTCTCAAATCTAAATTCTAATATTATTATTTTAATTGGATAAATTAATTAATGTTTTCTTTTTCTCTTTTTGGGTTTTGATCAACCAGCACTGCGGTCAGAAGAAGAATAAGGAAAAAGAGAGATAACGGAAGGAAATGCGCTTCTTTTATTTGTTGCAATTTTAATGTTGATTGGTGGTTTGGCACATTCGGATAATTAACACGGAATATGCTTTCATTGCGCCAACCGCTATTCTCTTGCTTGGCGGTTCCGTGAGTTCATTTTATTTTGCTCCTCAGACAGGCACGCACTTTCTTCAATTGGGTTTGTCTTTGATAGTGGCAGAGACAGCCTCTTGACCCATCTTTTGGTCTTTGATTGATGCTTTCTTGTTTGTTTCTCAATTTTTTACTTGTTGGGTATCGAAAAACCAATGGTTTGTGGGGCTTCGTGTTAAAGAATGGGATCCTAGAGAGAAATCTTGTTCTTTTCTGATCCATGCAATAACTGCTTTGAGCTAAATTGAATTTTGAGGTAGTTTTGGTGGTTGTGTGGACGTTCTTGGGTTAAAGTTTGTTGCTTTAAGCTATAAGGCCTGGAGATTTCCTGAGGCAATCAACAGGATTCGTAAATTATGATTGAGTATTGAGATTTTTGTTAATTGGGTGGTCTGAGAAATCAAATATTGGAAGATGTATGCGGTTGGGAGGCTAGGGAGCTACATATCCAGAGGCGTGTACACCGTCTCTGGCCCCTTTCACCCTTTTGGCGGGGCTATAGATATTATTGTAGTTGAGCAAGAAGATGGGAGCTTCAAATCGTCAGCATGGAATGTCAAGTTTGGGAAATTTCAAGGGGTTTTGAAGACAAAAGAGAAGGTGGTCAACATTAATGTGAATGGGGAGGATGCTAATTTCCACATGTATTTGAATCATAAAGGGGAAGCTTACTTTCTTAGGGAGGTAGAAGAAGGGGAAGCTGTATTGTATCCTTCGTCTTCCGGTGATGAGAATGATGAGCGATCTCAAGAAAAGAGGCAGCCATTGGAGACCCAAAGTTGCAATTATGGTGCTGAAAGTTTAGCAACAGTTGATCAGATTGATGCACCCAATGGGAAGATATTGGCCAGGACTAATTCCCGCAAGTCACGAATTCTTGGGCTATTTGGAAGCAGGTCAATGAAGGAGCGCAAGTGTAAGGAGGAAGAGGGTGATGATAGCACGGTAAGTAGGGTGGATTCTTTGGAGCGTGCAGAGTTTGCAGCCAACCTTTTGGAGGTGAAGTGGTCCACTAGTCTTGCCACTAATAAACCCAGGAAGGATAGTGCTTCCCGTTTTTCTTCTCCCAATATGTTGGTTAATGAAGAAATGCGGATTGATTCTGAGCAAACCAGGGCGAGCTCATCTCTGCCTGTGTCTAGTGTATCTAGTGATGTTGATGAA